TGTGAGTACTCTAGAGGAGATGATAGATGGGATACTAAGGTTTCATGATCAAGATAGTGAGGTGAAGAAGGAATTTTACACTCGTGATCTAAGACCCTTTATTTACAATAGCAATTATAATTTATATACCACATATGCAATTACTTGGAAAGATTCTTTCTTCTGCAACTTGGCTCCTAAGGCCCCTACACCAGAAGACTTGCCACCTGTATGCAGGTGCGTGTTATTTGTTTGTGTTTATAGAAGTAACATGTTGGGTTTCTGGCTCATTCCTAATTTGATAATTATTTAGTTTTCTATTTTGTTGACAGATCCAGATTTTTAATATAATCGAGTATATGATGTAGCCCTGTTTGACTAGACAAAATTAAATTGAATGTAACTATTGTTTGTATTGTTCTTTTTCCTTGATTTCAAATATTCATGCAAAATAACTATATGTGGTAATTCCCAGTAGAACAAAAATGCAGTTAATTGTGAATTATTATTATTTTTTTTATCCATACAGTTAATTGTGAATTGTGTCTTCATTTCTCCACCTTTTTCTAGTAAACAACTTAGCATGCAAAATCTCATATCAGTTGCATGAAATTCAAAATAGCATTACACTCGAAGGTGATTTAATGAGATGAAGAAAGGCTATTAACATAGTTTTTTAAACACACTTTTCATCATTGACCAACATTTATTAGATATCACAAATTTTTTGCTGGTTCAATTACTGATTTAATGAACCTACTCTTGATTTTATAGTTTAGTTTCTAGTAAACTTTAACCGACGATAAAAAATGTTTTATAAAGAATATCAAGAGAGTATGTTGCTATATGCTAAAGGACTCAAGTCAATCAAGGTAAATACGGCGACGCAAAAATGTACAGTGTTTTACTTGTTATCCTACCTCTTTACGGTTGTCATGGTTCAGCTTTCACAATGCTTGCTACTTCATTTGTTTGTAGATACATTTTGCTGGAATACTTAAATCAAGTATTGAAATTGGGGACTTTATTATTTGAGTTATTATCAGAAGCTCTTGGCCTTCATCCAACTTATTTAACTGACATTGGTTGCACTGAGGGCCTTTTTTCTTTTAGCCATTACTATCCTGCATGTCCTGAGCCAGAATTAACAATGGGAACTAGAAAGCATGCTGATGTTGATTTCATCACAGTGCTTCTACAAGACCGTATTGGTGGCCTCCAAGTTCTTCATCAGGACATGTGGATTGATTTACCTCCTCTACCTGGGGCTCTGGTTGTTAACATTGGTGATTTTTTGCAGGTATGTTTTTATTTTAAGATCAAGGATCATTTAGTGTGGCTTATTATAGCTAAGAAGTTGATTATGAGTATTTTTGAAATTAAGTTAGAAACACTTTTGAACATTTCTCTACTGAAAAATAATGAGTATTTTTTAGTTTAAAAGTCCTAAAAAAATGTTTATAAGTTTGTATTCAAATAGACTTTATATTAATTTAGATAAAAATGAAATATATATCATCTTTTGTGAGAATTAGAGTTGTAATTTTTAAAATAAAATAGAGTGTAATTAAACCATAAATATAATTTATTCATCTTATTCAGAAGATATATTTGCCTACATACTCTTGGAAAATCGATCATTTCTTATTAAGTAATGAGTAATTGTATCATCAAAGTCCTTGACATTTGGGCTTATTCTGAAATGACTAGGGTAGAAGTCTATAAGATTTATCCATTTTGCCGCATGGGAGTTGAAGAAAAGCAAATGAACAAGCACCATGTATACTAGCATGCAATAATGATGCTAAGCCTTTAACATTGCCAAAAAGTTTTGTTTTAGTAATCTCTCATCAGCATGACTAACTCATAACATTCTTGATTACCAGATTATCTCAAATGACAAATTTAAGAGTGCTCAACACAGAGTACTGGCCAATTCTATAGGTCCAAGAGTCTCTATTGCATGCTTTTTCAGCACTGGTCGTCATCCAACTTCAAGGATTTATGGTCCCATCAAGGAACTATTATCTGAAGACAATCCTGCAAAATACAGAGAATTTTCCATTCCAGATTTTTTAGCTCACTACAGAAAATGTTTGGGTGGTACTTCTCCACTACTGCATTTCAAGATTTGACTAGAAAAATGTTGTCAAAAGTGACCACAACCATAAATCACTACCTTGGATTCAGAGAGTACTTATGGTATTGAATTCCTCAAATTCTAGAACGTTCTCTACATAAATATCTTGAGAATTGTTCAATGAAAAATTGATATTGAAGAGATAGTTTGCCGTCTTTGTCAATCTTTAAGTGAGTTGCTTAAATGCGTTAAATTTTGACAAACGTACCAAATTGAATAAATAGTAGATCAAATATGGTTTTATTTTTTGTTCGTTCCTGGAGTATCCACCGCCGGTAGCAGTGACTAATCTCCTCGCTACGTTAGAGGCACCTCAAAGGGTGGGATAGCTGGCCCCAAGATTTAACGCGGCTGCATACACAAGGCAGGATTCGAACCCCTGACCTTACTTAAGCGTGGATCAACCCCTACCGCTGAACCACACGCTTGAGGTTAGATCAAATATGGTTTAATTTCTCAATAGACTTAATATAATGTTATTCAAATTTAATACTATCCTAGCTAGAAGATTCTTGCATAATCAAAAGAAGCAATGGATGTCTATGACTCTAGAACTTGACACTCTAGCTTCTCTCTAATTTTGTTTAAGATGTAAATTTATGAAATTCATATCTTAAGAAAAATCTTAAATATCTTTTCTTAAATTTGGTCAATTTGATCCTAATTGAAAACAATATCATAATAACTTAATTCTTAAGGATCCTTTGACCCTTAGAGTTCTAAAATAACTAAAAGCACAACATATCAATAATTAAACAACAAATATCATAAATAATTAATTAAAGGATATAAATCATATAGTGTTACAATTCTCATTAACAACAAAAATTTGTGTCTCTAAATTGACTTATACTTGGGAAGAGAAATAGATATTGATTTTTGATCCTATCTTCCAACTCTCATGTAGCCTCACGAGTGACTGCATCCCAAACAATCTTGACAAGATTGATGGACTTGCCCCTCAACTCCTACACCTTATGATCCACAACTACATTTGGTCACTTCTCATAGGTCACATTCTCCTTAACTTACACCTCATCAGATTCAATCGCATGACTTGATCCATGAACATACTTCCTTAACTGGAATACATGAAACACATCATGCAGGTTAAACAAGGATAGCGGCAAAGCCAACTGATATACTACCATACCTAAATGACAAAGGATATGATAAGACTCAATAAACTTTGGTGTTAGCTTCTTGGACTTTATCGCCCTTCCCATTCTTATAGTGGGTGTCACCTTGACAAACATATGTTCCCCTTCCTTCTCTTATCTGCATAAGACTTCTGCCTACTCTAGGCTTTGTTTTCTCCTTAATCATCTTCACTTTTTCTTTATTTTTTAGAATTAACTATAGTTTCACTACAAATGATTCACCCTCCTTATACGATATAGAGACATTTTACATCTCTCATATAAAGCTTCAAAAGGTGTCATATCAATACTGACATGAAAACTATTGTTATAAATAAACTCCACAAAGACAACACATCCTCAAAATTGCTAAGATGATCAAACACACAGGCTCTTAACAAGTCCTCCAAGGATTTGATAATCCTCTCAATCTGTCCATCCATTTGTGGGTAATAACCAAAACTCAACCTCAATCTTGTTTCTAAGACTTGGTATAAACTCTACCTAAGCATGGAAGTGAACCTTAGATCTCTATTGGAGATAATACTAGAAAACATTCCATGCAATCGTACCATGCCCTTGATATACGACTGAAAATCATCTTCTCCAAGGATCACTTAATGTTGATAGGAAGAAAATGAGCACATTTTGACAATCTATTGTTAGGCGATTTGGCAAGCATACCAGTTACACAAGTATGTTGTAATACACGACAATACATATATTTAATTCTTTGATATTGATAGATGTTGTTTATGTTGTTAATTTGTCCATTGGAGACTAGTATGTTGAAATTTAAGAATTTTGAATGATGTTGAAGTTTTGACCCAAAACATGATATTGATGGATTCTTGTTTTTGAGTTGTTGCATCTTTGGTCTGTTAGCAAATTTGTATTCTTGGTGTTGTTTCGAGTTGATATAGTGATTTACACGTAGGTTTTGAGGTTGGATGTTATTTGAGAGTGCCTGCATGTTAGAGATGCGTGACATTCTCACTTAGTGAGGTGTTCCCCATTGAGCTTTCAAAGCCAAAATTCAATTTTTTTGAGTTTTCACTTTTGAATTATATTTTGTTTATAATGTTTTTTCAAGTTATAAAATTTTAATTTTAAAAAACTAATTTAGTTTTGTAAAGAAAAATTTATATTATATTCGTTAAAATATTTTAATAAAGTATATATAGAAATCATTTCGGTTCATGTTTAGATTTAAGCAAGAAGTAAAGAATTGTTCATTTTGTTCTCTCTCTCTTGATTGGTAAAGAGTGATACAGTACAATTCAACAAAAGGCGTTTAGAATAGTTGGTAAGCCAAATACAAAATGTTGGTTGCAACACCATTTATTTCTATGTCTGTCAATCTATATGCATATGGCAGACAATCCACTTTCTTCTTATTTCAAAAGAAATGATTCCACAACACGGGTAAGAGCAAAATTACAACAATTAATATCCTCCTTTTTTCTTCACTTCTAATCACGACAATGAAAAAAAAATTATGTTTCTAATAATTTAAATTTAAGATAAATTTATTTTTATTTTTTTAAATTTAAAATTATTATTTTTAATCCTTATAATCTTAAAATTTTTTGTTTTAATCTCTTAAATCATCAATAACATATCTAATAATAATAAATTAAGACAACTATACTATATTAATTAAATTTAATGTAATATTTTCACCAACAGAAATACCAGTATGCAGATTTTATGCGATAGTGTTTGACAAATTTTTTAATAAAATTTAAGTATAAGAATAAAATTCTTTTATAGAACTAAAAATAACAGTTGTAAATTTATTGACTAAAAATAAATTCACTTTAAATTTGAAGAACTAAAATCATATTTAAGTCTAGATTTAAAAACTTAAAAAAAAAATTTTAAATTTGTTTTAGACTCATGATAACAAAACCTTATAAAGCTTCTTAAAATTGATTGGGTTAATAACACTCCTATTTGCAAAATATGTAATTTTAAAACTCATTTATCTTCAAAGTTCAATAAGTCTCAAAATATTTATTTATTTTTGGAAAAAATATTTAATTATTTATTTAAAATCATTAATTATAAATAATTATAAAACACAAAATTATTCTTTTATATATATATATATATATAATATTTAAAAATTGATTGAAAAGTATAATAGCGTGACTTTCTGTATAATTTTAATGTAATTTTTAATAAAATACTTTTTATATTAATTCATTGACCATAGCAAGACCCTATTTTTAACATTATATATCGTGTTTATCATCAAGCTTGGTTCGAATTGGTTTTATTATCTAAATATTAATATCAATATCGTGTAATCGTCATTATCCACTAGAAGCATGCTTACCTTATTAAATTATATATCATTAAGGTCATGTCTATAAATACTAGGGATAATTTAGTAATTGTGATACCGGCAATGATAGTTAATGAAAATGAAATATGGATCCACTACAATAATTATCTTAATGACCCCTCTTAAAAAAATTATCCTAAAGACAAGTATGGCCTTTAATAATTAGGCTAAAATTCTATTTGGTCTCTTATATTAATTGTTTGTTTCAATTTAGTCTCATTTTTATTTTTTATTTTAATTTGGTCCCAAATTAATTAATTAGTTTCAATTTAGTCCCAAATTAATTAATTGATTTCAATGTGGGACTTCCGTCTAAATTATTTAAACGGAGTTAACTTTTGGCCACGTGGATGCCACGTAGATGCATACGTGAATGCCACGTGGATGACAATTTTTTTGAAAATACTTGGACCCAGAACGGCCCGTTCTGAAACCGGAACGGGCCGTGGTTGCACTTTTGGTGCGTTAATTTTGCATCCGGAACGGCCGTTCCGGGTGCAAAATTAACACACCAAAAGTGCAACCAGAATGGTCCGTTCCGGTTTCAGAACGGGTCGTTCTGGGTCCAGGTGTTTTCAAAAAAAATTGTCATCCACATGGCATCCACGTATGCATCTACGTGGCCAAAAGTTAACATCGTTAAAGAAATTTAGACGGAAGTCCCACATTGAAACTAATTAATTAATTTGGGACTAAGTTGAAACCAATTAATTAGTTTGGAACCAAATTGAGACTAAAAATAAAAGTGGGACTAAATTTGAAACAAACAATTAATATAAGGGACCAAAATAGGTTTTTAGCCTAAAAGTTTTTTTTTGTTTTCTGATTGTTCTGTTGCGTTCCTTGTATGATTCTAAGTGTGATTATGTGTTCAATTTCAAGAATAAATAAGTTTTGATATGAATTAGAGTGATCTATGAGTTCCTACAGAAACCTTATGAGAAACAAACAATTTTTGAATGTTTTCTGATTTGACTTCTGAGTTTTTCTGTTATGTTTTTTTGATGATTACTGAATATGAATGTATGTTTAATTTTAAGATTGAATATGTTTTGATATAAATTAGAGTGCTCTATAGGTTCCTATGATAAACTCAGACAAAATATGAATGTTTTCTATTTTAATGTTTGAGTTTTTTTTTTGTGTTCCCTCATAATAATTGAATATGAATATATGTTTAATTTTAAGTATTTGATATGAAAGAGTTCGATATCCTGACCATGCAAATGGAAAAAATATTATTGAAAGAAATAAAATATAATTTGGTGATTCTCATCCAAAATAAATTAGTCTCCAATTTCTATCAGAAAATATTAATTTAACAAAAACCTCTCTTTGTGAATCTGGAACCAAACACAGCCTTAGATCTCTGATCTGTCGCACAGATTTTAGTGCTATGATCTTTTTTTCAGAACGGCCCGTTCTGCTGCACTAGTGGTGTGTTAATTTTTGCATCTGGAACGACCCGTTTCAGTTGCAAAATTAACACACCAAAAGTGCAACCAGAACGTCCCGTTCTGGTTTCAGAACGGGCCGTTCTGGGTCCAGGTGTTTTCAAAAAAATTGACATCCACGTGACATCCACGTATGCATCCACGTATGCATCTACGTGGCATCCACGTGGGCAAAAGTTAACTCCATTTAAATAATTT